TTGGTCATCTTGAAAGGTTTGTATCTAGATGAAGGTGATTCAGTCCAGTGCTGCTTTGAAAATTGCTTTCATAATTAAAAATAATAATAATAATAATAAAGAATGTGAAGTTGTCATCACGCCATGTTGATATATGGCCATTTTGGAAGATCACACTCATTATCCATAATAAAGAGATGCATTACATGCATCCAGAAGTTAATTTAAAGTGAATTTAAAAAACACAAACCCTAGCTCATACAGCTACATACAGTAGCGGATTCGTCAACTATGTAGCCAAAATGGCGTCCCTGTCCCCCAACATGCACTGCGGTGTGACGTACCTTGGCATTTGTTTTCCTAGAGACTATGTTCCTAATCCAGCTAGGATTCGTTTTTAATGTTTTGATGACCAGACAAAGACAGATCAACTACTACAGTAGAGGGTATACTAGATGAAATTTGGTTTCAATGTTGATAATCCTCAGAGGATGAAAACTGTTATTTATTCTTGCACCACAGTTGCACCTTAATTTCCATGTGCGCATGCAGTACTGTGTAATGCAATAAGCTGTTTGCGTGATCCCAGGTGGAGAATGTTTTGAATTTGTTGATTCCATCTTCCATTCAATAGCAAAACAGCGTTGAGGAAAAAACAGCATGTTTCTAAGACAGAAGAATCATGCATATGTATGATGATGTATCAGTATGCAAAATCGCACCGTCGTACAACAACAAAAGAACCTCAAACCACAAGCTTCGTCACCAATAACTGTTTTAAGGGGATATGTTTTTTGAAGTGCCTAATCAGAAACTGCTGCTCAGGACAAAGCTAATCAAAAAGGTTTGTATTTTATGACTTCTCTTCACAGAAGACCGTGATGCCAAACTATGACCTTATCACTTTGCCAAGAATGTTTTTCCCTATAAAGTCTAAATGGACAGATGTGCACTGTGCATCTGTGTGATTATGGTCAACAGCTCTTCTTCTGTGCTTCTCAGCGGGCACATTATGGAATGTCAAACTTTTCTGTTGATGTCAAACCCTTTATTTTTTAAATCTCTCTCCAGTTCATATCAGTGTCTAACAAACACTATGAAATGTACTGGTTATTCTAAAAATGGGTTTCATACACTCAAGTGCTTACTCAAAATGAAAAACTAATTTGATTTGGCCTTTGACACAATTTTATTATATCCAAGGATTAAAAGTAGTTAATTACAACTTATTGAGTATCTAGATTCCAATGTAATCAAGCAGAATCGGTAATTCTGCTTTTAGATTGTTGCCAAAATATCGCACTCAGAAAGATACTGATGATAAAAAAACCTACATGACACAACCAGGAAAACATCCCCAGTTTACACTGGACCTCTTTCTTGGAAGCTGGCTTTCTTATTAAGGAAAGATGCTTAATGTCATCTTTACCTCTTCAGCAGTGCCTTTTTCATGATTTCTCGACATAAGTGAAAGCAGTGACCCCATAAGGAACCACTAGATACTGGCACCATGACACCTTGAAATATCAACATTCCCTGTAGTCTATGCAGTTTTTCATATTAGGTTTCTCATTCACTTAAAAAGATTCCTGGCCCTCATTCCACTGTGCGCTGAAGCATAATTAAGAGTCTGGCTAATCACGCAACAATCGCCACAGGCACCTGCACCCATACATTACATGCATCAACACATCTGCAAACATCACGCTTCCGCTGGGGCTGTGATCGACCTCACGCCAATAAAAATGTGCTCCTGCATTTGAATTTACTTTCCCATGCTGAAAGTATGCGCCCTTGGCTGCTTCGTCGCTCAGGCCTGGCTCTTTATGCCTGTTGTTCATTGAGTTTGTGAGTCCTCACTGAAGTATGTAGGTTGACTGCTCATCATATACCATCCCTGGCACTAACAGGTTGATTTAATAAAGGAGATTAAGGATAGATGGGTAAGCGTGGGTGGCATTCTTATTTGTTAGCTCTAATTTATGAACATATTCTCCAAGGGAAACAGATTTCTTAGTTAAAAATAATAATAATGATGATAAGTTGGTGAAAATGAGACTTACATTGCCTGTCTGCCCACCACCTGCCTCATTAGGCAAATCATTCTCATTACCAAGAACCAGAAAACCTGCAAAATACCTTGATGCAGTCATTAAGAAGTGCAATTCGATGTGAGCTTTAATCATCTTGGAAAACATCATTTTGGATCTAGATTCATAAGAAAAAGTTTTCATTCTTCACCGTCTTTTAACCTAACAAGATATTTGTTATTATAGATTATGGAGAGACTGTGTCGCGCCACCATCGTCACACATTATGATCTGAGTGGTGCTCTCCTCCTATTAGTTGATAAGTAAATTGCTAAAATATAAAAGAAACATTGGAGTTAAAGTGAACATGGCTGATGTTTCTGAACTGAAACGCTTCTGAGAAAAGATGATTTGTGCACTAATTGTATCGGGGAGCCACTGGGGACTGATAAAGACGCCAATATGAGGTGAAGGTAGCTCAGTCTTTCCCTTGACATTAACATGGAAAGTGGGGGTGTGAATTCTGGTCATATACTAGCTGAGCAATGTTAAAACTATCCACTGTGGTGTGAGTGTGGGTGTAGAGTGACTATTCCCCCTCGGTGCCCAGTTCATGCCAGGAGGGGGATGAAATGGATGCAGAGAGAGTTAAACTTGAAGGGGAGAATGTTGGTGGAGATGCTGCGGTCGGTCATTGTGCCTTGGGCAGATTATCAGCATTTCCTTGTAACTCTAGTGAAAAGCTTTGTCTGTGAAGTGTCACATTTTTGAGGAGTAAGAAGCCTCGTTTTCAGATCGACCATCAGTTTTGAGGTTCATCTTGTGCAGTTTTGAAAGAGCTTCCTTCGGCTGAGAATTAAGATTTGTCCTGCAGAGGTGCACGAAATCCTTTACCTGAAGTTTGAACAGGAAAGAATGAAAGTTTATATTTCACCACAGATGGACTGCTCAGAGAGTTATGTCACAGGAAAGTCAGATAAATCATTTTCCTTTTGATTTCCTGAACCTCTAGAACTTGTTGCATTAGTCTACCTCATAACCACAGATCTGCCACTTGAATAAGCCACAAACACCAAAACAAAACACCATATTCACTGTCTGACAGTACAACCACACGCTCCACTTGGACCTTCTCATTATTTGGCCAGTAGAAAAACAACTGAGTAACAAAGAAGTGATTACGCAAAGTATAAATTCCCAGTGACTCTTTCCATGGAGCAGCCTTGCCCACAGTGTCCTTTGTAGTGTGTGTGTGTGTGTGTGTGTGTGTGTGTGTGTGGTGGGGGGTTCAAAGATGTTGTGAAATGGTTCCAGTATGTGAGCGGGTATTACATATTCATCCCCTCTGACCACAAATGAACTGAAACAATGCTGATCCTCTCCACTTCACATCATTTGTCTCCCGCTCTGCCTGGACCGTGCCACAGGCATTTGTAAAACAGCTTGAACAGAAAGAGGAACAAATAAAGCAGTGTGTGTGTGTGTGTGTATGTGTGTGTGTGAGAGAGAGAGAGAGAAAGAGGAGAGAAGGGGAGAGAATAGTTAAAAGAGAGACATGACAGTCACAAATGTCTGAGAGAACAGTTAAAAGAGAGAGACATGACAGTCACAAATGTCTGTCCAATAAAAGAGAGGAGGCTGTGGTGAAGGTCATAGTGAGCAGATTAACACTTATTTTATATTATATATTTTTGGAATGAGCCTTGTCTTTGATTCTGACTGCAGTAACATACATTAAATTTGTCAAACACAAGGTACACACACAATTTCTGGGTGGGGTTAGGCTCAGCAGGTTGGAGACCTAGATCAGATCGACTGGGGTTACTTTCTCTAGTTCTCAGATGCACTTTTACCAGAATAGAAGCGATAAAAACTTTTAAAAAGTCCTTGAAACTTTGTTGGTTATTGTAATGCACAATATCCCAAAGCATTTAAAAATAAAGAACAAGCTGTACTGCAAATATTGCATATTACTTTTTGCAGCAGCACAATTTCTTTGACTAATAAGTAACAAATCAGCCATTTTATATACATGTGGGTCAAATTTATCTCTGTCTGACCGCCACAGTATGTCAGGCCTGTTTCCTTGACTTTTAGTCTGGAAAGTCCTTGAATTTGACACCAGTTGTTGACTTTATTGATTACTTTGTAGAACTGGTGTTACTGCAAAATCACCAGTTAAGATGATGCAGGTATGAATAATCTCATGAACTGCATAACTTATCATTTCCAGTCATAGTTGGGTTATATCATGTCCATGTTTTCACCTGGTGGAAGAAGTGCTCAGTGTAAAAATACTCTGGTTTTACTTAGGTAAAAGTATTAGCATAAAATGTACTTAAAGTACCAAAAGTAAAAGTACTAATTATGCAGAATGGCCCAGGTCACGGTTATGGTATGTTGGACTATAATTATTGATGTATTACTGTGTACATCGCCTTTAATATTACAGCTAATGTTTACTACCTTATACTTACATATACCTTACATACTGCTGGGTAGCCTGTGAATGTCCCGTCAAGGATCAATAAACTCATGATTATATGGTATTTAGTTTAATTAATCTCAGTCTTAAAGTAACTATTCACTAAAATGATCAAATCCAAAGTGAGTAAAAATATGTTTTCTGTCAAATGTGGTGAAGTCGAAGTAGAAATGATTAGAAAATGAGCATATTAAAGTACAGATATCTCAAAAGTCTACATAAGTACAGTACTTGAGTAAATGTATTTAGTTCCGTCCCACCTTTGCGTGTGTCTGTGCGTCTGTAGTGCGGTATTTTAGACTACTGGCCCTCAGAAAGGCTTCAGTATAAACACCTGAGATTACCAGTCAATCCGTCAAAACACTATAAAGCAAGTTTACAGCTCGTTGGTTGGATTTTTACACGTGAAATTTAGCGCTAATCGGCGCATTCTTATAAATTGCGCATTATAAAATTTGGACCCACTAGAACCGTAAAGCAGCAAACAGGTAGGCCTGTGCACTCACCCGTGAACCGGGCCTCTGAGCGGACACTTCGGGCAGGTAACAGAAGAACAGCGGCGCCAGACAGTGAGAAAAGGTGAAGATGAGAACACTTGACAATAACATAATTGATGGTGTGGGGTCTGCAGGTTGGCTGAGCGTCCCTCTGATGGTCAGCAGGTCCAAACCGAGAAGAAATCACTCACTCCGCTCGGTTTTCGTTTTAGAGATCTTCCTTTGTCTGTATCTCCAGCAAGTGTTCACATAGTGCCCTGCTTGGGGTTTAGAAGTCAGGACTCGGCGGTGACCATCGTGGTTGGTTACATCCACTGCGGGAGGATCAGCTGCGCATCGCGGCTTCCACAGGTTGAGTCGCGTCTGTATCCATTGCGACTTCATTTAACGGCGAAGGAGGGAGCAGCATCAGTGACTGACACTCCAGCTGTCCACTAGCAGAGAGGGTGCGCGTTGAAGCCACGCCCACCTCTGTAGACGGCCCAACTCCTCCAGGAGAAGAGGCTGCTGTGCTCAGTGAAGACAGGGCAGCAGGAGTGTCAGCAGCTGCAGGGACGCTCGGTATATCATTAGAAGTCTTTGAGAACAGGGACAATGAACGAGCAATTGTGAGGTCAAATTTTAGCTTCTCATCACCATTCAGGGACACATAATACTCTATAATAGCCAAGTATCCTGCTGCTGTGACGTTTCGCCTGTGCACTTGGGTTACAATGGGAAAACATCCATTGAGTAAAGTCAATAGCTGCCAGGAGCACTGCTGGGGGTCAGTCTGTGTTGTGTTGAGTGGACAAAACCAGCTGACTGTGGCACTTCATCTGTAAATATTGTAATGCAAATTTCACCAAAGTTCGTTTTATGATCAGTGGTGGAATGTGACTAAGTACATTTATTAAAGTACTTAAGGGTGGCATACTTTAATATTATCATTTCATGGTGAAATATTGTAGTTTTTACTATGTTTACCAGTCACTGCGTTTTTATGCTTCATGACTACATTTACTTTTTTAACTTGAAGTAATTTTCACTAAAAATACTACATAATAAATGACATTTTCATTGCAGAAGATGTGGTATTGCTGCTTTTACTCTAGCAAATGATCTGAATACTCCTCCACTGATCCAGCCTTACATGAAAGCACACTAAATGGAGTCATAAAACTGGTCTGGTCCCACGTTATAGTCGTCCTACGCACTTTCAACTTCTGGCTCCCACGTCCTCTTTCGCTCACTGCTCCCTCTTTCTCCAGCTTTTCCCTTTCAGAATTGTGTGGTTCTTTGAGAGCGAGTTAAAAAGAAGGAACAGAGTGTTTAGTGCAGGTGTCCAGCTTCAGTTCACCAACCCTTCAACCCACAGACACTGGGCTTTTAAGAGCTGAAAGGGCCTCCCTCTGCTGGAATGGGTAATCCCCCCCCACCACCACACACATCACCAAAACCCCTTCTCTCAGTCTTTGTTCCCACAGATATGTTTTAATTGTTGGCTATGATGGTTAAGCAGCTTGTAGAGTGCCTCAGTGAAGAGCCTTGTAATTAGAGCTACTGAGCTGCTGGAATTGGCACAATTAGGGTCAGCATCAATGATTTCTCTGTGCACCGGCCGATTTCAGCAAAGGGCTGTTTTCCCAGAAACGATGGAGAGAATTCGAGAAAATGGTCAGGCCAAATATGGAGAAACAAAGAAAGACAAAGAAAGGGCCAGCTGGATATAAAGGAGAAGAGCTGAGGCCTAAACAAGAGACAATGAAATGTCTGGATTGTTGTTTATTAGACCAGTGAGTGTAGTATCATTACCAGAGCTGTGAGAGGTGGGCTGACGCACCCACAGCTCTGTGCCAGCCACCAGCTGGTCCACTCATGGCCTGAGTGGAGAAGTAATGTGGGAGGTGAAGATGAGGAGCAGAGAAGGGCAACAGGAGGCTCAGTTAATATCTGCTCTTCCCTCCTGCTTCAGCTCTCCACTAGCAAAGGGAAAGCACGACACTTTAATTCTGTCGTCATTTGGCCGAGCATGAAAGAAAACCTCTGACGATAAAAACAGAGGAGGAAGGAATGGGCACGCTAAAAGGAAATGTGCTTCCCAATTACTGCAGTGGCCCTTCCTAAGCCACCCCAGCCGCTGCCCCCCACCAACTACATATGGCCCAAAATTAGCAGGTGTCTGTAGGCACAGAAACAGACAGAGCAGAACTGAGGCCACCCAGAGAGCGAACGACTGGGGGGAGATTTTAGCACAGATGTACAACCATGATGTCGTATGTACTACAAGTGCAATTTACACACACACACACACACACACACACACACAGAGTTCGGATGTGGTACTCCGAATGTTATGGGTGAAAAGGTGTCATAATAGGGGCACAAATTAGTTAGTTGTCCCGTTATCTTTACAGTTATTGACATTGCAGTACTAAAGTAATGACATTCTTCACAAAACTAAAATTTGTTTCCAGTGTTTGTCTCTTCTCATTGTTTGTGCATTTTAATAGCTGCGTGTCGATTCTGTGAGACTGATACATTTAAAATAATGTCTGTTATTTGAAGACAAAGAGCCAGAAGTCAAAGTACTGCTTACACATTTCAGGTTTTTGTACTTTACTTGAGAAGTTGGGATATAAGAGAAATATTGTAGTTTTAATCCTCTACACTTAGAAAGTGATGGCTGCAGTTAGGTACCGGTTAGTTCACCAGCTGCATTTATTAAACTCAAATAATATGGTACAGTCCTTCATATTAAACAGCAGTAACTAAGTACATTTACTCAAGTACTGTAACAGAGTAGTTTTGGGTACTTCTATTTGAGTATATAAATATTAATGACAGTATTACATTAATGTTAAACTACTTGTAAAACTGTTTACAGTTGAATAATCAAGAATAAACTAATGAAATAATATACAGTACACAGTGATTCATAGTTTTACTTGGAATATATTTTGCTGCTAATAACATTTAATATTGTGCATTTAGGTTACTTTTAATTTTAGTATTTAGTTTAGTAAACCAAACTCTCTGAAAGAATATATAACACTAGTACTTGTATATTTTAGTTGTAGCGTAGCAGCAATAACATTAACATGCTGCTTACAGGTTAAGGCATCAGACGTCTGCTCCGCTGTGTTTCACTGGGAAATATTGTACCTTTTATTGCACTTTTCTTTGATGTAGAGTCACTAGTTTGAGAAACATTTTAATGCAGGACTTTTTCATGCACCGTATTTTCACATTGACGTATTGTTACATTTGCATAACTGCAGTATCTAAACACTTCTCCCACCACTTGAGCTCTCTGTGTCTGATAGCTTTTGAGAATGTAGTACTGTCAAACACAACAGACAGGAGGAGGGAGGGGGCAGGGTGGTGTGCTGAACGGAAAAATCGGAGGTCAGATAGTTTAAAAGGAGAGGACTTTTTGTCATCTGGATTTCATTTAATAAATTCCACATATTTTACATGTACTTTCACCGGCTCCTGTTCAGCGGTTCTGGACAGCAGCAGCCTGGCCTCTTTATAACTCTCGTCAAACGCACACTTGGACATAAACACAGTCATTGTGAAGCCGGTGCAGAAGCGCGCCTGCTGACGGAAACACTCAGCAACAAATAAATAAGGCCGCAAAGCCAAATTATCCATGACATTAATCAGAGTGAAGGATTTTTACGTAGCGAAAGAATGAAAGAGAAAGTGGCAACAGAGAACCACGGGTGTGAAAAGGGCTATTGAGTCTGGACTGGGGTGTCTCGCACCTGCGCTCTCCATTCACCCCACTGTTTACACACTGTCATCCACAATTAATACCTCCTGTGGACTGGGCTGCCTGCCCCTTACAGGGCCCCCGGACCCATCCGGGGCCCTTATGGATGCCTAATTGAGCATACCGCTCTCCTGATTGAATTAACAGCTCTGTCTCTGGGACCTTTTCCCTTTCCACTGAGGGGGACTGTTCCACACCCGCATGGGACCCACACAGGACAGAGCGGAGGGGGAGGAAGGCTTGGCGGTGGCTGGAGAAAGCAAAGGGTCAGAAGGGGGAGTTGCTGAAACTGTCCAGAAAATGTGCCCCTTTCTGTTGGCAAACAGGGCAGGAAATGTGAACTGGGTGCAACAAAAGGTCCCAAACTTCACAGGACCGCAGAGTCCCAGCAGGGCAGCGAGTGGGTTGTTGAGGACATGCACAACATTAGCGTACGATACTGCGTGCTCACAGGATGAGGGTTGAAGTGGTGCTAACTTTCTCACAGTCTAAATCCAGACAGTAATACTGTAGTTTATTTTTCTGCCCATTGGTTGAGTCGATATGAATTATTTGTAAAAATACTGTATTACTGATATTAAATAAAAGTATGCAGTGCTGAAAAATAGCTCCTACTATTAGAATTTTATTGCGAGTAGCATTGTAGCTGATTAAAGCCGGAGCAAATGTTATCTATTTAATATAACATTGGGTATTTTAATGCATAATAATATATTTCTTAAGCTCATGTAACAAGTACAGTAGCTGCCCTTTATCCTCATAACCTCTTTAAATGAGGGATCAGATATGTCGTCGTCATTTCAGCCAAAGAGTGATTTTCTTAAACCCTTATGTCAAAAGAATCATTTTTTAAAGGCTAAATTATTGAGGAATTCACAAGAAAATCCGACTTTAGATGAAATGTTGACAAAATAAACAGTTTGGTGTAGCTGTAATTATCGTTTTCAGGTTTGGGGAAACCATGTGACCTTTGCATCACTAGATTTACATGAATTCATGAAGAATTAAGGATTAATTCTAGAAAATGTGCCCCTTTCTGTTGGCAAACAGGGCAGGAAATGTGAACTGGGTGCAACAAAAGGTCCCAAACTTCACAGGACCGCAGAGTCCCAGCAGGGCAGCGAGAGGATTATGATACAGGCATTTTCTTGGCATATTAGAAAAAATGATTTGACCCTAAAACCATTTGAATGGTACATGAAATTCCAGGATACAAGAACAAAAACCAAAATGAAGAATCAATGTAATTAGCAATTTTAAGTAAATTGAAAAGTAAAAGAAAATGATTTTTATTTCAGATGACTCGTATACTGCTGTACTGTTTTTTTTTACCACGCTGCAAAACACTTTCATCAAAGGCAAACACCAGCCACCTAAACATATAAATTACTAATCATTATTCATATAAAAACCTAAATGGAAGACATGGAGAAGTCTCACAGAGATACGAAGGATAGCATCACATTTGGTTCAGCATTGTAGGCTCAGTAAAAATGATCTGCTCTGAGCAAACGCCCCTCCTCTGTTCTCCTGGCACGATCCACTAAAGTAGTAGTAACACATAATAATGTGGAAAATCAGAAGCCCTCTGGAGAGAGGAGTACGCACCGAGTTTATCGTCTTCAGGCTTTGTGTGCACTGCCATATTTTTATCTGTACTTGTCAGCACGCTGAAAATCAAATCTGCCTCTTGAGGGTAAATGAATTAGTGGCTGAGGCTGCTGACTGTCAGGGTCATTCAGCCAGAAGCAGTTAGTGTCGGAGTTTCTCTCTGTCTGTAGCCTCCTGGACGGCTCCATGTGTCGGTTTGGTGGAAAACACACGATCTCAAGTGGAGCGAACAGCACAGAGATTCTCTGATTCGCACTAATGCTGCTTTCACTTTGTTATTCTTAATCACTTTTCTGCAGCAGGAGATCAGTTTGCACTCCCAGGACAGTGGGAATACATTCTCTGACATACAGTACCATGCATGTCACAAATCATGCAGAAAAGTTGTCTGAGTTTTAGTGACACTTGGCACAAGAGCTGGTTCTTGTGCTAACATTTTGCAGATGGATCAACAGATTGACTGCAAGATTTAGATAGTGTATAGTCTATATGGTGTAAACCCATTTCCACTTTGAAGTAAAAGATTAAATAATACTTTGTTCTTGTATAAGTTGATTTTTGCCTCAGCTCCACCAAAGCCGCAGTCTGGAAGCAGACAACCTGTGGTTGAGCTGATCTGGTAGGATTTGATGTAAGTGGATGTCAGGTTCTAGCTGTTGTCCTCTGTGTCAGTAAGATAGCTACAAAGGAACTTGTTTGGCACATAAACTTTAAATCTTATTTTAACTGGTTTGCTGTACAAAACCAGTAGATGACTTTGGGCCCTCACCACCAGCCGAGGATTGGCGGCCTCCCTGCACGGGGCAGCTCACCTCTCGATGAACCCCCGGTGCAGGTGTGGTGGTGGGAAGCATGCCCTACCAAAAACAAAAATGCAAACACAAAAATTGTCCTCAGCATACCCCTGCGCCAGTGAACTGTGCACCAACCACAGCATACCCCGCTCCCCTTTGGCCCGGTTAACAAGCCAGCCCACACGTTCTCGGTTGTCACTCCTGAGGAGGACAGCGGGTAACTGTTCCCCACCGGGTCAGGAGTTTAGTGGGTCACCGTCACCCACAGTTATCTAATCCTGATTCAAACACTGACTGAACCAAACCGGGCTTTCATTTATTCATGTAGTTGTAGTGTGTAGTCAACATGAGGTCACAGAAATACACACCAGGAAACTTGTACGATAAGTCGATCACACAATTTTCCCTACCACCTGTTCTGCTATATACTGTAGTAGATGCAGCAGCAGTGGTTGTTGGCATTACAGTGGCAGTGGTAGTAATAGTTGTAGTAGCACTTGTAATAGTGAAAATACAACAGTAAAGGTAGTATAATTCAGTGTTCAGTGCTTTTAAAGTTGGCAAATACAATAGTAGAATTAGTGTCTTGGATTATTGTTGCCTCTTTACCAGAAGTGTCAACTCCACTACTGTTCTGTAGTAGATGTCCTTTGGCTTCAGCCTTTTTGTCTCAAACTAAAGCTGACAACAGGCTAGAGGCGGGGTCCATCCTGAACGCGGCGCCAGCCTGTCACAGGGCTGACACATTCACAGTCACACATGAGGGCAGTTAACTTAATCTGCATGTATCTGGACTGGGAGGAAGCCGAAGTACCAGCAGGAAACCCACACACCAAGTTGTTACACAACACATTCATTTAATAAGTATTGTTATTTGTGGTTGGTTCCCAGTCAGAGTCAATAGGGTCAAAACTTTGTAATACTGAAATTTGTGTAATGTTTTGGAAGTTAGTGACTCACTTGTTTAGAAAACAAGAATCATTCAATAAGAATCATTTGAAGAACTGTGTTTAACATTTATGATCAGTATATAATGTCAAATGTAGAGTTGAAAATGAGATTGGCTACTTGAAGGGAAATGAGTGTGTGAGCACCTCTTAGCTGACACTGATGATTATATCAGGGTCATTTAAAAGGGTTTAGCAATAAATAGGTGTAGCCTCTATACAACATCTCGAATTTAATAACAAAACCAGTTGTAGTCCATCTTCTGAGAACACCAGTGACACTGACTGGCTGGTGACCCGAAAGGCTGCGAACCCAGAGCGAGAATGTGTTCGGCTGTATTACAGTGCCCCCTTGTGGTTGTTTAGAGTAATTACAGCCTACTTCATTTCACTCAGCTGATGGCAGATGTTGCATACGGTGATGTGATTTTTTGATTTAAAATAAAATACATATATTTTCATACAGTGAGTTTGACATCTTATAGCCTTTTATTATCAGGCATACACAACAAATAAAACAGAGGCAAATACCCACAAAACTAAATATAATAAAACAGTCGTCTATGGACATATTTAAAGGCTTCTGGTAGAACGCAGGCCTACAGGAGGAGCTTTGCTCACGGCTGACACGTTCACCAGTGTTAAACGCTATTTTCAGCACATTTGCCACAGGCGGGCGGAGCTAAGGAGGCTGAGACGGGGGGATGCTGCTGGAAGCAGGCGCACACCGCGGATGTTTACGAAATACACTTTTCTGGGGAGGAACGGAGGAAGCTTGCTAAGAGATTTATGTCGTCGTGAGGAGTCAAATTCAGCTCTAGGACGGTTGTGTGTGTATTCTGAATCGCGGACTACACAGATTGGAGCCCCGCTGCTCAGGGGGCTTGACAGGCTGCGAAGGACTCCGTCTGTCGTGTCGCTTCAGGTTGCGACGATGTGATGCTCCATCGCTGGGTCGACGGCCAAAGCCTTGTCCCTGAAGCCTGGTATTATGCAGGGAACGAGCGGCACTGGGCGGATTAAAAAGGAACAAAGCACCGGTTTAGGAAACGTTTTGCAAAGTGGCAGGTTAGTGGATGTTCGTGCATGAGATGCATGTAAACCACGTCAGATGTCCTGTTAACTACGCAGTCTGCAGTCATGGATTCAAAGGAATATGTCCAGTCTGACCTAGAGAGAGTCCAGATGATTTCTGTCTGCCCTGCTGATGTGGAAACGTCTAGGCCCGAGTCCGTGTTAGTGAGCAGAGCCCAGTGCGTGTGTGCCACATAAACTCATTCAAAGAAATCGAGCCTTTATTATCAGCTGGTTAACAGTATAGGTTTCAGGACTGGGATGTGTTTGTAGGTTGACTGTGTGTAATCCGATTCTCTCAGCCCAGTAACTCTGCCAAAAATAGATTCTCTGTTGAAGGACTGTGTTGTTTTTGTGTGAGATGTCAGTTCCCTGAAGGAAAAATGTCTCATCTGGTGTAAAATCAGTGAATGCACGAATATGTGTTCATGCAAGCATGTAGCTCTGAGCCGCCCCCCCGCCCCCCCGAACTGAATGCTATAATCCTCTAATTGAAACCTCTTCCTTCTCTTTTATCCACTTCCCACCCCCTACCTGCAGTATTAGGCAACTATGGTCGATCCCTCGGAGGCTGAGGAGCAGAATAAGTGTAAAGGCCCACAGCTCGACACACCCACTGTCGCCCCTGAAGACCCTCGCCTGCCAGAACAGGCTGATGATTCGACAACAGAGGAGGATGGGGATGTCGGTTTTGAGACGCCACCCACCGGCAGCTCTGAGCCGAGCCCCTGCCACACTGCATCCACAGCGGGGCCCGGCACCACCTCTCAGGAGGCCCCGCCTCAGCCGCCACAGACTCAGACAGATCTGTCGCCCAAGATGCACCTGGACTTGTACAACTTTGACTCACCGGCTGCAGAGGGTAGCCGCTATGTGCTTACAAGCCCCCGCTCTCTGGAAGCGTGTGCTCGATGTGGGGTCAAACCTGTAGAGCTGCTGCCCCGCCCACTCACTGACTTTGTGCGGGAGGCCCCCGGTCACTCCATGCGTGTTGCCGCAGGGCTGTTTGAGGTTTACGAGAGGGGCAGGCATGCCAAACTGAGGCAGTGCAGGGAGGAGAGAGAGAGGATTGTTAGAGAGGAAAAGAGGAGGATTCTGCAGGCAGCGGTCAATAGCAGTAGCAGTGCACCACCCCCCTCTGTGGACAAAAGTCAGCCTCCTAAACCTGTACCAGTGACCTCCAGCTCAGCCCCTACTGCCGGAGCATCCGCTAGAGTCACAGCTTCAGCTCCACCTTCTACAAAAGCTGCTGTTCTTTTCTCTAAAGCCTCGGCATGCAGTCTTAGCACCTCCCCTAAATCTGTATATGCAGGGGCTACTCACTCCTCAAAGACTGGCTCTTCAACCTCTACACCAGCCTCCAAGGGTGGATTTCAAGAATCTGCCAAGCATCCTTTGCCCTCATCTACCGAACTAGTTAAAACCGCTCGCCCGCTCTCATCTGGTGCTGCCCCAGTAGTCAAGAAGTCCTGTGTTGGTAAATCTTCAAACACTTTTCCCAGACCAACCCCTAAACCACCCTCTTTCTCCAGAGCCCACACCACATTAACATCATCAGTGTCAAAGTCTGCAGTTCAGAGCTCTGGGATGCCTCTGAACGGTGTGTCAGGAGGACCGTTCTCTCAGCACAACGGACATCTTGGATTCCATTGCCAGGTGAAAGCAAAAAGTCATTCACTGGAGTCTTTACAGCGAAGGAAGGATCACATGTGCTGCTCCACTTCCACCACCACGACTACCACAACATACACCTCATCAGAGTCAGGTGCTTCCTCTTCTTATAGCTGGGATAGTGCACGTGATCACTGGGCCAAAGTCTCGAGCCCTCGAGCTCGCACTCTGGCCACGTTCAACTCCCTGATGGGCCGCAGCCTCAGCCTGGGGGACCTGAGCCACTCTCCTCAGACAACACAGAAGGTGGAGCGTATAGTGAAGGAGGTGAAACGTCGAGGCCTGAAGGCCGTGCCTGAGCGAGACCGCAAGATTGCAGCTTTGATGCTTGCTAGATACCAAGAGGAAGACATCATGAACCAGACTCGTTATGTGGCTCACCTTCAGTGGGACAGTGAGCGCAGAATGGAGGAGCTACGGCGAGAGCAGGAGGAGAGGGAGAAGCAGCGTGCAGTGCTCGAGTGCCAGCGAGTGTGGCAGACGCAGGTGGCGACACGTCAGCGAAGACTCAGCCAGCAGGAACGAGAAGCAGTGGCTGTCAAACTACGACAAGCTGAGGAGAGTGAGGAGCGATGGAGGGAGCTCGCAGAGCAGCAGGAGCGCAGCCGTCTGCTGAGGTTACAGCAGGCAGCACGGGAGGGGAAACATAAGAAGGCTCTCCAGGAACAGAACCTGAAGGCTCTGGAGGAGGAGAGGGCTGCCATGTTGGAGCAGGAGAGACTGCTGCTGAAAGAAAAGCTCACCGTGGCTGAGCTGAAGAGGCAGGAGAAGGAGCACCAGGCCCAGGAGGAGAGACGAGGTCTGAACAAAGCAGAGAAGAGACGTCACGCCGCCCTGATACAAGAAATTGCTCGGAGAGAGCAGGAGGAGCGGGAGGAGGTCAAGAGGGCAGCAGAGGAGAAGCTCAGCCGCTCTCTGGAGAATTATGAACAGCTAGTTGAGCGTCGAGGGCAAGAGATGAAAGAGAAGGCCAAGCGGGAGGAAAAGCAGATCCAGAAAGCACGCAAGGCAGCGGAGAAGCGCGAGAAGCTGCAGCAACAGCTGGTGGAGGCTCGTGTGAAAGAGGCAGAGAAACGAGCCCAGCAGGCGGCTTTAGTGGCTGAGGAGAGGGCCAGAGAGAAAGCTCAGCGAGCCACCCAGACCCGGCAGGAGAAGGAAAGACTCCAGAGATTCAACCGGCAGCGTGTGGAGGAGGAGGAGAAGCAGAGGCGTCTGGACCTGCTGCAGTCCATCGAGAGGAAGCTAGAGAAGAGTGAGCAGATCTTCAGGGAGAAGAGGGCCGTGCTGGAGAGCGCCCGCTCCGTGGCCCGAGCCTCATTTCATGTGCGAGATAAAGTACGAGAAGAGACCAACATGCGTACCTTTGATAAAATGGCCCTGGAGGCTCAGCTCAAAGCCAGCCTGGATGAAAAATAGGCCCACAGCTTTGTTGTGAGCTTTACTTCTGGCCATGTGCTTGGCTCTTGCCTTCATTATGGCCTCATCACTCAGCAGCTTTACCCTTCACCCCCTCACTTGTTTTTTCCTTGACCATTTTCATCCTCTCAAAGCAGACCAAATCATTTTGTGCCATGGCTATAAAGAGACTATAAACAGTATCATCAGCTGCCCAGGTGGGACATACAATAGACTTCATATTAGAACCCTTCCTCTCTCCTCCTCTCTGCCCTCTGCTCTGTCTTTCTCAGCTACTGGACTGAAAGCTGTGCTGGAATGAAAAGAGTTTGCCAAGAGCACAACTCCATGACAACTGCAGAGGCTTTCAAAGGAGCACTCCTGTAAGGGAAGATTAAGCATAGGAAGATATTTAAGAAAAAAAAAACCCCCAACTAAAATGCAAGTGGTTCTAGACCCCTCAAAGCAAACAAGGGATCCTTTTGTACACGCACTATGACACAGCTACATATACAGTAGGAATTAAAGCCTCGGGCTGGACACTAGTCTGTACCTAACTGCTGACAGTTTGGCACAGGAGGGCCCTGCACTGGTGAAGCCTTGGGGGACACAGGGCCATTCTTTCTCCCTCTCATTTCTTCAAGCACTCTCTTCTGTTGTCTCTCCTCTTCATGTCAGATGACCGTAAACAGTGAAGCATTCTGAGGGACAGCCGCCTGTCGACCTCCCTGCAGCCACATGATGTCCATGTCAGGGTCCACAGGTATGACTTTTTATTGCTTTAACAGGTTATACATTACCTTCTGTCTGTTCTATGGCCTTTCAGCGCCTGCAGTTGAAGAAAACAATGCCTGATCACACTGACCGCGACTTGACAGCATCTACTCACGAGTCAACAACAGGCTTTAAAGGCCTCTGGCTGTACTAATCCAAAAGGGATAAACATTTTTTCCCTTCTGATGTAGCTGTTGCCATAGAGATAGAAATTGGGATGGAGCAGCAGAGTGCGTGGGAATATGAGGGGTGTGCCCATGGGGAGCTGGCAGCTCATTCTGCACAGCGCTGTTGGAAAACAAGTTTCTTATGTAAGCGTCTGTGTTAGGCAGAGAAATCGCATACAGAGTCGGTCACCGGCCTGATACCTGCTAACTTCTCTGCCTGTCTGCGTTTCAACTTATGGCACTGACTAGGCCACGCTGTTCTAGCTACGTAATCAGGGAGAGCGACACAAGGTCAGAGGATGAGACGATAGGTTTGTACTGTAGGTGCAAATCAGGGACAGTTGGTAAATAAACCACTGGGTGTTTAAAATCTGTTTTATTGAAGTCACACTGTTTTAACGCTACATTCTCTTCTCTTTTGTTTTCCAGCAGGTCCCAGTGATGTCACCCCAACAGAACACTTCTTACTGTAGGCAAGTCAGTTACAACTCTTTTCTCTGATAGCTTGTCCCAGATGAGAGCCTAAAGCCTTTCACCTGAACAAATGACATGACATATACACGGTCCAAACACAGCTTTATTAACATCAAGGCATGTTGTTCAGTACACAGTAAAGTTCCCTTTTACCTTAACCTGAAATGTGGGCTTCCTTTCTCTTCTAGTTCCCCCGGTTACTTAAAATTAATTCTCCTGAGGTATCTTTCTCTGTGTTGCCACCATGCTGGTGTCACTTAGCCATGGAGTCATGATGTTTTGATTAATTACCCTGACTTTCCTCATGTAAGTTTTATTGCACATAGAGTAAAAAGAATGGGTGGGCTTAAAGTGAGTAAACTTTCACCGCTTTCTTCATCATGCCTTTATCCGTGTTGTGATCTGGCACTATATATTAAATAAAATTAGCTTGACCTTCAAGGGGGGCGGTGTGCCCCCCTTATTTTGCTGCAGATAAGACCCAAAACACTGACACAGTGATATTCATATAGTTTTCTCCCAGAGCTTCCAGTCCTACTGGGTGTGCTGGTGTCAGGCCCCTTCATGTACGCCAGAAGCCCTCAGCTGCAGCTCTGAATGGACATGGTCAACACTCCACGGGAGCCGGTGAAGCTGTGGCACGGATTGGGCAGAGCCATTTAAGCAACCAAACATGAACAGATCCACAGACACATGTGCATCTACATACACACAGAGTCTGAAATAATAGAATAAAAGTGATAACAAATGGGTTCATCCTTTGTAAAACGCCTTGAGGCGATTTCCATCTGCTAATAAAAGCGTGTCTAGATGAAAAGTATGTTTGTAATTTCATGTGATTTTTACTTTGTCAGTGTGCACGGCGGATATTTCAACGCGGTCTTTTTTTGGCGGAACCTTTGACAGATTACTGTTTCCTGTTCCTGCGGTAACCGTACTCGCTTCCTGCTTTCTGTGCCTGCGCTGTGTTTGCTTTCAGATTGTTTAGGGATTAAGTTCACTATTTTCTAGGTCTATCTGAAAATTTTTGAGTGATGACACACGGCTGCACCATTTAAACGCCTGTGTTACAGAAGTTCTTGCTAACTACCAAATTTAACTTGCTACTTTAGGTCGGCTAGTTTAGAAGCTAGCTAAGCTAGTAGCTTAGTTGAGAGCAATGGCTTCTCCCTTTTCCTCTGCTCCTTTCTCTTGCTCGGACTGTGGCATGTTCAGTTATTGTTCTGCCTCCTTTAGTGATAATAGTACTTGTAACAAATGCCAGATGCTAGCAGAATTGGGGGCGAGACTCCTGCGCCATGGAGAACAGCCCAGCTAGCTATACCCACGTATCCGGCGCTTAGCCTCCTAGACGTAGCTTAGCCCAAGCTAGCCGCCCCCCACAGCTTCCCGAGCAGCCGGGATCTCAGACAGGTGGCTGGGTGACAGTTCGCAAGAGTCGTAGCTCGAAACGAATGTCCACGGAGCATCACCTGCCTGTTCACGTTTCAAATCGATTTTTCCCATTTAGCGACACCCCCAATAAGAAGACAACTCTGGTAAGTGGCGTATCCATAGTCAAATGTTTTCCTGGGGCCAGAGCGGGCGACATTGAATCCTATTTGAAGCTGCTGACTAAGGATAAGCGTAAATACAGTAAGGTTGTTATTCACGTCGGCGCTAATGACTCCCGACTTCGCCAGTCGGAGGTCACTAAAATTGTTAAAAATTAAAAGGCCACTCTAAAATGTGCAGTTTTATTACAGCACAATGCCACAGATGTCGCAAGTTTTGAGGGAGCATGCAATTGGCATGCTGACTGCATGAATGTCCACCAGAGCGGTTGCCCATGAATTGAATGTTCATTTCTCTACCATAAGCCGTCTCCAAAGGTGTGTCAGAGAATTTGGCAGTACATCCAACCAGCCTCACAACCGCAGACCACGTGTAACCACACCAGCCCAGGACCTCCACCTCCAGCATCTTCACCTCCAAGATCATCTGAGTCCAGCCACCTGCAACAATCTGTTTGCATCACCAAAGAATTTCTGCACCAACTGTCAGAAACCGTCTCAGAGAAGCTCATCTGCATGCTCATTGGGGTCTTGACTGGGCAAATGCTCACATTTGATGCCATCTGGCACTTTGGAGAGGTGTTCACTTCACGGATGAATCCCGGTTTTCACTGTATAGGGCAGATGGCAGACAGCATGTATGACGTGTGGACGAGTGGTTTGCTGATGTCAATGTTGTGAATCGAGTGGCCCATGGTGGCGGTGGGGTTATGGTATGGACAACGAACACAGGTGCATTTTATTGATGGCATTTTGAATGCACAGAGATACTGTGACGAGATCCTGAGGCCCATTGTTGTGCCATTCATCCACGACCATCACCTCATGTTGCAAGGATCTGTACACAATTCCTGGAAGCTGAGAACATCCCAGTTCTTGCATGGCCAGCTCACCGGACATGTTACCCATTGAATATGTTTGGGATGCTCTGGATTGTACGACAGCGTGTTCCAGTTCCTGCCAATATCCAGCAATTTTCCACAGCCAATGAAGTGGAGTGGACCAACATTCCACAGGCCACAATCAACAACCTGATCAACTCTATGCCAAGGAGATGTGCTGCACTGTGTGAGGCAAATGGTGGTCACACCAGATACTGACTGGTTTTTGGACCCCCAATACAGTAAAACTGCACATTTTAGAGTGGCCTATTATTGTGGCCAGCCTAAGGTACACCTGTGAGGTGGATGGATTATCTTGGCAAAGGAGAAGTGCTCACTAACAGATTTAGACAGATTTGTGAACAGTATGTGAGAGAAATAGGCCTTTTGTGTACATAGAACAAGTTGTAGATCATTGAGTTCAGCGTATAAAAAATGGGGGCAAACACAAAAGTGTTGCATTTATAATTTTGTTCAGTGTAGTTATAACTCATTTGAAAGTCTCACCCTGGGTCTCTCACACCCAGACTGGAAAACTCAAAAGCCTGTTCTGTTTGTTATTGTATACCGTCCACCTGCTCCTTATTCAGAGTTTTTAAGTGAATTCTCAGACTTTCTGTCTGATTTAGTGCTTAGTACAGATAAAATAATCATAGTAGGCGACTTTAATATCCATGTAGATGCCGACAATGACAGCCTCGACAATGCATTCTGTTCATTATTAGACTCAGTTGACTTTTCTCAAACTGTAAATAAACCCACTCACTGTTTTATTCACACTCTTGATCTTGTTCTGACATATGGCATCGAAACTGAACACTTAATAGTTTTTCCTCAAAACCCTCTTCTGTCTGACCATTTTCTAATAACTTTTGAATTTCCATTAACGGATTATACTCTATGTGGGAAACAATTCCACTACAGCAGATGTCTATCTGGCAATGCTGTTACCAAGTTTAAGGAAATAATTCCATCTTTATCTACTTCAGTGCCGTTTGCCAACACAGTGGAAGGAGGCCACCTTAACTTTACTCCCACACAAATCGATAATCTTGTTGATAGTACTGCAGCCTTCCTGCGTAATACACTTATACCATTGCCCCTCTGAAAAGGAAGGCAGTGAAACAGAGAAGGCTAGCCCCATGGTACAGCTCGCAGCTCCGCTCCCTAAAGCAGGCATCACGAAAAATGGAAAGGAGGTGGCACTCCACTAAGTCAGAAGAGTTTTTCATAGCCTGGAAAGATAGTTTAATAACATATAAGAAAGCCCTTCATAGTGCCAGAACCGCATTTTATTCATCACTGATTGAGGAAAATAAGAACAACCCCAGGTTTCTTTTCAGCACTGTAGCCAGGCTGACAAAGAGCCACAGTGCTGTTGAGCTTAACATTCCCTTAGATCTCAGCAGCAATGACTTCATGAGCTTCTTTACAAATAAAATCACAACTATTAGAGAAAAAAATTGGTCGGACCACTCCCACAGCTTCTGATTAACCTCTCTCTATTAACAGGTTATGTTCCACAGGCTTTTACGCTTGCAGTAATTAAACCTCTACTCAAAAAGCCTACTCTTGACCCAGGTGTCTTAGCTAATTATAGACCAATCTATTTCCAAAATCCCTGAAAAAGCTGTTATGTGACCACTTGCACAAGAATGATTTGTTTGAGGATTTAGAGTCCAGAAACTGCATTGGTGAAAGTCACCAATGATCTCCTAGATAAAGGACGTGCCCAGGTAATGATAACCTGATCAGTGTTGTTACATGAAGACTGTCACTTTTTTCTTTTACTTTCCTCTGCTGATATCTTTAGCGATGAGTGTTTGAATGTCGTTTCTTTACTATCAATGTCATCACAAGTTCCATTTAGTAGCTTTTGATTGTATCAGTCTCATTTGTCATGGAGCATTTGAAAGCTTTTTGTCCAGGCTGGCACAAGGTGAAGAATTAACTTAGGACATGTGAAGACATGATTAAGTTAAACCTGCAGTCCCTGTCTCTTTATCCATCTGTTTGTTTACACTCTTCAGGTATCATGAATGGATGAAGTGTCCAGAGCTGCTGACCCCGGAACATGACGTGCAGGGGAGCTGATGACGGTAAGACTTCTTCTGCAGTTGTTATAAATCTGAAGGCTTGTCAGACTTAGATTTTTTCATGGGAATAACTGGACACCTTTGTTTCTCTGAACCTATCAGTGGCTGGAAAGATAAACCTGAGAAATTTTAACTTATTCTAAGTTAGAGTAACAAGATTTTAACTTTGTCCAAATAACAGAAGCTTGTTTAATCCAAATTATGATAGGACAAAGTGAAGCCGCAATCCCAGTATAGAAGAGGAGCAGTGCATGGTGGGAGATGTCCATGTGTTCCCGACGGACCCCTCCTCAGCAGAGGAGATGACGCGCTATGGTAAGCATCTGATCCATTCTTTCAGAACAAACAATTTTTAAATAGTATTTTCTGTGTCAGGAAAAGTAAACTGCTCTTAACATTCAGTACTATCCTATGTTGACTAAGAATAATGGGACGGACCCATCGCTGGGTTCTGATTCCTTAGATATAAACTACATTTATTGCTGTACAGTATTTATGTGAAACCCCTCTTTATTCATACTAAATATTAGTGGTTTTATACCTAAACGACCAAAAGTAAAATGAGTCACTGTGCAGATTAATAATAGAATGCATTTCATGTTGATGTAATTATACACTGCTCAAAAAAAATACAGGGAACACAACATAGTTGAATGTCTTGTGTTCCCTTTACTTTTTTTGAGCAGTATACTTTCTGGTGCATTATTGTGTTAATCATTTTGATGCTGTAGCTGGTAAAGGTAGGGAGAATTTTAACTGTTAAAATGTCTCAGCTGGCCTAGGAGGAGCTGTCTGGAGAGAGGGACGTCTTTGCTTAAGACTGCTGCCCCTGCAACCTGGTTCCAATAAAGGACGTGCCCAGGTAATGATAACCTGATCAGTGTTGTTACATGAAGACTGTCACTTTTTTCTTTTACTTTCCTCTGCTGATATCTTTAGCGATGAGTGTTTGAATGTCGTTTCTTTACTATCAATGTCATCACAAGTTCCATTTAGTAGCTTTTGATTGTATCAGTCTCATTTGTCATGGAGCATTTGAAAGCTTTTTGTCCAGGCTGGCACAAGGTGAAGAATTAACTTAGGACATGTGAAGACATGATTAAGTTAAACCTGCAGTCCCTGTCTCTTTATCCATCTGTTTGTTTACACTCTTCAGGTATCATGAATGGATGAAGTGTCCAGAGCTGCTGACCCCGGAACATGACGTGCAGGGGAGCTGATGACGGTAAGACTTCTTCTGCAGTTGTTATAAATCTGAAGGCTTGTCAGACTTAGATTTTTTCATGGGAATAACTGGACACCTTTGTTTCTCTGAAAACTGCCTAAATAAGACGGGGAGAGGAAAAAAAAAATATCTTTGAACCGATCATAGAGCAGTGGCTGGAAAGATAAATCTGAGAGACCTTTTTACTTTTGTTAACTTATTCTAAGTTGGTAACAAGTTTTTAACATCCAGAATTTTTACAATGCCTACATGAATAAGCTAACGCATAGTCCAAATAAGAGAAGCTTATTTAATACAACTTATGATAGGATAAAGTGAAATATGATTGACATTTGCTTTATGAGGTCAACACTGCTTTTAAGTTCTGTCCTTATGGCTTCCAAATCATTCTTTCTAGACATTCATACCATCATCCATCAGATTTGTTATGCTGAAGTGTTTATAAATAACTGGTAATCATTGGATATGATATGAAAAGATATTCTGAGGTCATACATTAGTAAAATCATTCAACTTTTGCTTAAAGAAGA